TCTCTAGGCTCGGTTTCGAGTCCATCGAGCATAAATCATTCAGGGCGGCCTGGGGTTCTTTAAGCACAGTCCATACTTTCCAAACTGAGCAGGCTAGTAGTTTCGCCATAATTAGAGTTTCAACAGCAGATGAAACGGGATATGAGAACAGGTCAACAACGCCATTAGTCTGGCATCCAGATACCAGTATCCGTGGCTAAAAGAATATGCATGACTTTCGCGCCCAGCCTATTTCGGCATTTAAAAATATGTTTCCGTTCTATTTCTTCATTAGAATAATAACACTACTCTATATAAGTAAGTAGGTAGATTAATATATTTAAAATCGTTAAACCAGCAGATTCAGCTGGCAGTGATCGTTATAACCGGATCCATTTATTTGTAAAGTTTATCATTAGTCCTTACATCAGCCAAGCTGTGTACTATGACTTTGGTCATTTAGAAAGATTTACCTCATTTTTAAGATTAATACATTTGGTATTTATTCGAGTTATCGGTTCTAATAGCAAATAAAGCAGTACAACTAAAGACATGGCTTATCTTGAGATTCGTATCTGAGCTGCGACCTACATGCACCCGGGACTGTGTAACAGAGTGATAATGCTCATAAATCCCCAGAGATAGCTCAACTCCGTAGGTAAGATGGCTTTAAAGCCTACCAACGCGCCGAGATCTTTTGGATCTATCTTCTAACCGCTGAGGCTGTTTACAGCGGAGCCTGTCGTACAGTCCGCCTGTACTGACTCAGTTAAGATTGAATGAATAGCAAAATGATTAAAATGATATGAGGTTGGCAGCCGGTTTGTACAGACCCAGGACCGGCTAACTCTTCCGCAGCTGCGACATGCGTGAGTGTATTTGTGTGCGCACATGCGGTCTGGTTACAGACAGCCTTGGATGTGGGTATGGATGTCAGCGGATCCGGGTGATCCTGACCCGAGGCGACGGCAGGCATGGCAGAGCCCGCATATCAGCCGATCAGAAGACCGGCCTGGTGATTGCGCGATAGGATGCAGGCTGGCAGATGCCTGCAGACCCGACCCTTCCTGTCTTGGAGACTGTCGCTGGACGCCAGCATAACACAATGCCTTCAGAAAGCCGAATCGTATGTCAATGCATCGCCACATCTCGCAGCTAGTCTTAATATGTCGCCTCGACTCGGCTTGATTTGTTCCATTTTGACTCGACTTTTCCTGGCTAGTTATCTCGATTCGCCTGACCTCGCTACGATTCTACTCCACTTTACTTAATTTGACTTAGCTCGGCTTGCTTCGCTTCGTTTCTCCTGACCTCTAGTCTCATCTTCTCTTTTCTCCTTGGGTGAATTTATTCTTATTCAAGAATTATAAATAGTCTCGAAACCTACTTATGACCAATTAAAGTAACATCTTTGATAAAAATATCAAATATATATGGAATGTATGAGAATTATTCTGTCATGGTGACGTACAGTCCTGAAGTTGAATTTTTCCACAAGCTTATGAGTAGGCCGCACATTTCCATTAAATTTCACATAGGCTTGCTTCCAAAAAAGCTATTCCTATCGAGGCTGGACTACAGTTTTGACCTCGCCACACCGATAGTGGGGCTCGAACCTGAGTAGTACAGCGTATAGTCTCGACAGTTTAAC